ATTATTGAAACAAAATCTAGATTGAAAATGAAAATAATAAATGTTCTTTATCTATAAATAAGAAATCATTTAACAATTTGCTCATTTTGAGCTTGTAAATAAAGCAGATCTGATAAATGATTCCTTCTTACACAGACAGTTCATCACATCTGTTTGGCAACAACAATGGGATCTAAAAATTTACAACAAGTTACACTCTGTGAAAACAGATTTTAACCCTTATCCTGTATTGAGTCCGCGGCATGCAGATGTAAAATTAAACCGTCTCCGAATCGGTCACACTCGGCTGACCCACCTACATTTGTTATTCGGGGAACCTCCTCCCCAATGCAGCACCTGTAAAGTTTTACTCACTATTCATCATATTTTAATCATCTGCCCATGTTTTAACCGTCATCGTCTAATCTTTTTTGGTAGTTCTATTTTAACTCTTCAAGATTTGTTAGGTGACTCTCATCATCCTAACATTTTTGCGTTTCAACGCGCAATTGGTCTTTTATACTGTATATAACTGTTTTATCCTATTCGCAATTTTATCTGATTTTATTCATCTTTGAATGCAACTGTTTTATAATGCATTACTAAGTTTACATTTTATCTGATTTTACTCACTTTTGAATACCTCTGTCACGTTGTATTTAGTTTTATAAATTCCGTGTGACTTTTAATGAAGAAAATTTGTAGTATACATTTACCTTTATTTTAAAACCGTTCGTTTGGCGCAGCATGTCCTCCTTTGGACTTTGTGCCATTAAACCCCACATTCAATCAACCTTCTTACACAGATAAATTGCTTTAGTGTATCTTGTGATGAAGTCGTAAATGTTTTTTTTTTTTTGTGATATTAAAGTTAATTATGAGATTTAATTTCAAGGCGTCACAGTAACCAAATGTAAGCAAAAGCATTGAAAAATAATTTATTACTTATGTTAAATTTTCACCACTCAAAAATATTTTACTTCGCTCATAAAAGATTAACTATCATAGTTTTCTCGTAATACAAATCTGCACTCCGAGGATGACGTTACTATGAAGCCTTGAATCTCGGTAGATTTACCAAATCACTATTACTCTTTTGATTTTCAAATTTACTGAAATTAACATTAAGCGGGGTTCGTTACAATAGGCTTGAGAAATCTTAAAAAGAGTTCTTATCAAAATTCTTGCTAATAAATGAGGTTTGCTAAATTGGATTGTTGCATTGAAAACCTCAAATCTACTGTCAAGGCTATTCACTTCTTCTTTTAAGGAGGAAGCCCCCCACTGCTGTATCAATAATCTATGCAAACAACGTCTTAATGACAGCCATCGAGTAGACACGTACTTCAAGATTTTTCTTTGCCCGGCATTAAACAAAGATTAAAATTTTTGTCGCCTGGATTTTTTTTTGCGCTTCTTTCCAAATAGAAAAAAATATCTATATGACTATCTATTTTATCAGGAAAGACAACTGCTCTCTTTTGGGCACCCAAATTAATCAAATGGCCAGTACAACCAATGATTTCTAAATGTCCAATTTCTTTTTTAAAAAACCCCAGCAACTCCGCTTTTTTCACTCCAATCATTACTGGCGCGTAATCAGCACCAAGAGAATTTTCAGCAATTTTCAAAATTTATATTATTTATATTCAACTGTCTTAAATCAGATGGGCAATATTTATTTATACCAGCTGAGTCTCCTTCTAAATCAGAAGTAGTTATTGAGAAATCTTTAGAGTTGACACTGACATCAGAGTGCTCTCAACTATCATAACAGCAAGGGGATACAACTTAGCACCCGACTTGTTGCTACCATCAGTTGATACTGAAAATAGATATTTTTTTAATATTTCTACATATGATTCTTTTTCAGTTGTAGCCATTTCGCTTATAATGGCTGTTTTGTTTTTTTACCCTCAGCATATTTCTTTGCGATAGTATAGTTCGGAAATTTTTTCCGGAACAATGGTGCATTATGGTCAATTTATGGGCAAATTGTATAAAAAAAATGCAGTAAAGTACGCTTCTGCCCTTATAACAGAATCGTCATCAATGGCAAAAGAAATCTCTTAGAAAAATTTCATTTCTTCTTTGTGCTTTTTGCCCAATTATCTTGCCTCCATGAACGATATCAGAACAAAAAGCAAGCGTGCTTCCTTTTCTCAATACAATAATTGACGGAAATTCATTGGTACATAATTGGTTAAAATTGAATACATTTTTCCGTTTCGATTTAGACATCCTTAAAATATTTTTTGAAAAAATATAGGAAGACAAAATGAATAATGAGAATCGCGTTGTCTTAGTAAACAGTTTGTTGTCAACTGTTGAAAGAATACGCAATAAAAAATTATAAAAAGAGCAGGATACGATATCGGTTTCAACAATCGAATGCCGGAGTTTCCTGCATCTGTACTGACTAAGGTTCCTATATGTACCATGAGAGCTGAACTATCCGCCATTATGGAGCAGACAAGTTACGTATGTTAGCCTTCAAACTCTCACGCTAATACTGTTTGGATACCAAAAATTATTGAAATGGGTGGTTATCCGGTAATAAATTGCAAAAACAGTTTAAAAAAAAAGCTTTAGAATAATTAGATTTCTATCAAATTTGAGAAGAAATGGATAATAAATTGCAGAAGATGATACAACTGGCAGCCTGGAAGGGGAACTTGCTTGAGAGAGGTACATACTCATTTATTTATAACTTATTAGATTTATTTACTTATGTATGTAGTATGTAAACATTAAGTTGTTAGAATTTGTTTTTGAGTGCTTGTTTTCGTCAATTTTTTTTTTTTTTTTGGTTGCTTGAATTATAGTTTTAACTATGTACTAAATATAGGAATTTTTATTGAAAATTCATATTTATTTTCAATGTTGTACTGCATTTATTCCTATTTATTTTCCATATTGTTCTGCATTAAAAAATCAATTTCATTCTTTTTATTTATCATATTTTGATTAGCGTGTTTCAAGGTTTCGTTTTCAATTTAGTGATTATTTATTTCTTCATCTAACTCAGCTCAAAGCTGTTTAGAATATTCAATCGGATCAATGCACTGATAATATAACAATGTATGTGTTTTTTATTTTGCGACAGCCCTTGAAAACTATGTATTACTGAAGCTAGATTTATAAGTGGTTTAAACCTAACAAAACTGATTTACTTCTGTTGATTTGGTTAAAATATGGTAACCCTACTTATATCTTTTAGAAATCAACTACTCAAAAAAAGGAAAAAAAGATTTTTTGATGAAGTTTTATAAGGAATTTCAAAGGGCGAATGAACAACAAGAAAAGTTTGATACAGAAATTCTTAAGTTGTTACAAAGAAACAATGAACTTTGTAGCCAAATTTTATTGAATGTATGAAATAAAAAAACTTAAATGTATTATATGTTCTCAGTGCATTCATTTTAATATTTTTTCTTGTACAATTCTGCTCTTAAAATTTAAATTTTGGTACTACATTTTTGTATTTAATTAACTGTAATAATTTAAAATAACGTTTTGTTAAAACTCCTAAGACAATTTAATAAAATTATCTTTCTACTCTTTATTCTAGAACTGATAATGCAAGTAATCTTAAGGTTTCTAACAGTTTTATTATTATTATTATTTTTTTTAAATTTTCCTCAAATTTGCTAATAGTACCGTTTTTCATAATATTGGCATAAAGAAAAAATGCTTTTAGTTTCTGCTATCAGTTCTCACTCAACAAAGTAATTGAACTGGCAAAAAAGTCATTCAAAATATAAATTAGAATCTTTTTTTTTTCAATAATTTGCGATTTTCTTCTAAAATTTTTCTACGTGTAAATATAACATGGTACATTAACTAATTTAAAGCTAATAATTGGATCAGATATATTTTAATTAGGTATATATACAAATTGAGATTTTTTTTTAAGCATAAACATTTTTTTATCAACTGTTTAACTTTTGTGTAGATGGTCCAAAGCAGTCAACAATCGTAAACTACCCTTAAAATTTACATCTTCCTTTTATTTATTTAATTTAAAAGATGAAGATTATTGAGAATTTTAATTTTATATTCTGTTGCAAGTTTGGAAAAAAACCATTAACCTATTTGAAAAACCAGTTAGCGCACATATATTTACATGTTTTTTATGAACTGAGCATGATCAATAATGTTCATTGGTACTTGTTTTCCCTGGCTACCGGGATGAAAACAAAGCCAAACTGTTGACTTAAAATAGTTGTCCTCTAATAATTACTAAAAGTAACATTTTTAATTTATAAGAAAAAGGTTACCGTGTTCGATTATGTGAACAGTTCTATAGCAAGAACAGTTCTATAGCAAACCGCAAGTTTATGTTGCTATTTATCTCGGCTGCCGTGAAAAACATGTTTCTATTTATTTAGTTAATATTTTTGTAAAGCGTGCTTTCATAAATAATTTTTATTTAAAAATATATTCAATAACTGAAAAGTTTAAATATTTTTTATATTTTTAAAAGACAGCTATTAATTCAAAAAATAGAATGAGCCACTTAATATTAAGTTAATTTAAAATTATGTAAAAGTTGTTTTAGTAGTGAATAATATAAAAACTATTTCCCCAAAACAAGTTGCTTTATCTTAAAATCGATGTCTTAGTAAATGTTTGGACGTTGTGAATGTATATACATATAGATTTAAAATTATAAAATATGTATCAAGAATAAAAAAGAATTTTTATTGGTGAGCATACCCTAATTATGATGTATGTTTGAATAGGAATTCTTTTTTTTGTTGACAAATTTAGCTATTTTCACTAATTTTTAATAATAAATCAACTCGATAAAAGACATTTATAATTTAAATTATGTAATGACTCTTTAATTAGAAAAAGTAATAAAAATAAATATATTTAAAATATAAACATAACAAGAAACATCATTCATTATTTTCATAAAAATATGCAGCCATAGCATCTCTTATTAGTTTAAGCTGATTTTTGTTATTGCCAATAACACAGGTTGTATCGTTACTATGCAATACTACATCTTTCTTTCAATGTGGAGTAAAATAATCCCCAAACTGTTCACATAAATTGTTCAAAATGCAAGCTGCGTGCACAACTGGTACAGCATTGTCTATTCTGGTCTCCAACAACTTTAAAATTCTAAATCTAGCTTTCAACCTTCCAAAAGCATTTTCAACAATTTCCCGTCCTCTTGATAAAGAAGAATTGTATTTTCTCAAAATGTCGGGCATTGTTGAATGTTCCTCATAAGGCTTTTGTATAGTTTCCAAAAGTGGAAAGGCAGAATCCCCAAGAAAACACAGTGGGACTGAACACTCTTTGATTGTTTCAGATAATTTGAACAGCAAAGGATTTTCAGTTAGATAATTGTAGAATGCAGAATTCTGTAACACAAAAGCGTCATTGTTCCGTCCAGGAGACCCAATATTCACATACGTAAATTGATAATTGTAATCCACAACAGCTATTAACACGATACTATAAAAAGACTTGTAGTTGTAGTAGCTCGTAGCATGCATCTTCGGTGGTTGGATCTTAATGTGGGTTCCGTCAATAGCCCCTAAGCACTGTGGAAAAACCCAGCGATCCTTAAAAGCATCTCTGGCGTCTATCAATTCTTCGGTTGATGAAAGATGAATTATATCACCACATTCTTCCACAAAAACTTTACAAAATTCCAGGGTAATTTTGCAAACAATGCTTTTGGATACAGCAAACAAGTTAGCAACAGTTCTGTATTCTGCAGATGAACTTAAATCATATAAAGCAATGACAATTCGCTTTTCTTTACAAATAGCCTTCCTGAATCTTGTATCCATTCTGTCAAGGACGCATAGTTTTTCGCACAAGAATTGATACGTTCTTTTGCTAATCCTGAAGTTTTCTCTCCACTGGCTGTCAGTTATTGGAGGAATAAAATCTTGCCAAAAGTAACTGCTTCTTTTTAAAGTCCACACAGAATGCTTCCTTAAACAAATCGTTGCCCTTAAGATCAAAAACAAGGTGAAGCACTTTATTTCGCTCTCTTCTTCTGTGCTGAAGTAAATTCAGTAGAAGGTGCTGATTCTGCTGTAGCAGAACTAAACTCATTTCTAAGGACTCCATCCAAAATTAAAACATTTGGGATGAAAATAGCAAGATAAGAAAGAAAAGTAGTGTTAAAATATGCTGTAAAGTAATTAAACAGTAATAGAAATGAAAATTAAAAATTTCGGTTTTAAAGAACAGCAAAACAGTCAAATGATTATATGAAAAAATTAAAATCGAATATTATGCAATAAAATATGTTATTTTAAAAATGAAATATAGAGAAGCAAGAAAAAATCAATGAAAATTTTAGTTCTGAAAAGAACTGTTTTTTTAAAGATAATGAATGATGGAGGGATAACTTAAATAGCAATAGGCAAATCAGGATATAATGGATGTCAAACGACACTAAGTGGGGTTTCATTTCAGTTTCGAAGTCTTTTTTGACACAGTTGTAACAAGCTTTTAGCTTACTTTGCTCAACATGAATGATCTAAATAATCTTGGTACCAGATGCAATCGTTAGTTTAATCTAGTTTCGAGAGTACATAGGTGGAAGCCGATCCGATCGGATTTCGTATGATCTAGATTACTGGCAATCCAGTTTATCTACAGCTAGTGGAAACAGAGTATTACTCGACTGCGAATCGGTCACACCCGGTTGACACGTCTTCATTTACTGTTCGGGGAACCTACACCTGAATGCAGTACTTGTAACGTCCCTCTCACAATTCACCACATTTTAATTACGTGTCCAAGTTTTAATCAACATCGTTTAAAGTTTTTTGGGAGTTCTATTTTATGCATACAAGATTTACTGGATGATATTCACCATCCTAACATTTTTGCATTTTTACGTGTCGTTGGTATTTTTAACTGCATATAAATGTTTTATGACATCTACGGTTTTATACTGTACTCATACTCTTTATCTGATTATATTTAGATCATTTATATTTTCTTATTCCCTTACTAGTACTGATTTATCAATTATAATTGTGCTACAGTTAAATTTTGTATGCAATTAGGCTTTTAAACAGGGTTCCCACGGGTCAGGGAGAACAGGGAATTTTATTTTAATTCCATAAATCAGGGAATAGTCAGGAAAAGTTGCAATTTTTTTACAAAAACCTGGGAAATTCCTTCATTATTCCTGGAAAAAAAACAGTCTTAAAATTGTCAATAACAATGCTCTACTCAGTTATTGAGATTCGAGGTAAATAATTCTAACATCTATTACAATTATTTATAGTAAAAATTTTGCATTTTAGACATACTGAATTGCTTCCTGCCTCACATAATGATATATATTTTGCACAAAAAATCTAATACTTGGCATAACAAATAAAAAAATCCAAAATTTCGTAGTATAGATAAAATATGGTANTTTTTTTGACACCTATTCGACTTTTTTGGTTTGTATTCGAAAATGATATTTTGGAATCAGCTGCGTGCCCCCCCCCTGCAAAAGTCTCGCGCCCCACAGTTTGGAACACACTGCCGTACTGTTTGGAGGAGCATGTCCTCATTTGGACCTTGTGCCACTAAACCCTACATTCAATCAATCTAAAATTATCAAATATGTCTGCTAATAGCAAGTCAGAGTATTCGCCCAAATTTTCCCTCTCTGAGCATGTTGATACTCTTCCTCACTAATATGACATTCATTAAGTTTACTATAAAAAGCATTCTGAATTGGTTATAAAATCATATGGGAATATCCCTTTGCGTAAAAGTAAAGGAACTTTTTCAGAAAGAAAATGATTTTTAATTGTGTTTAAATATCGGTAGTTTCCGCAAGATTTTTTTGCTAAAGCATCTAAACTACTATTCAAGTACGGACAAGGCTAAAATATGATGATTCAGAAGAAATCCCACCCACAACGATAAGGTACAGGTGGCTACCTATCACTATTGACTACGTTTGAAATGTTTACCACTTTATCCCCTCCTTACTCACTTTCAACTGCATTAAACAATGAATACGTGAACTATCTGAAAAGATACACATGGTCCTCAAAACATCCATCTTTGAATTTTCCTTTACTTGTTACACCCTAATAAGCAATAAAAATAAAGTTTTGTGTCATCTAAGTTATCAATTCTAGTGAAACATGTTATAAGACTATAAATATATATCCGGATTTTGTTATGTTACTGTATAAATGAAGTAGAGATCTGAACTTATTTCGATAATTAATTATGAAAAAGCACATGTTATGATTTTTTCAAAAGTATTAAATTATTCTTAAGTATACTAATTACAGCTAAATGTTATGGAGTAAACTATTAATAAGATAATGTTTGTTAAAACATTTTATTTAAAGAAACGTTATTGCTAATAATAAATATCATTTACATGAATTTCTTTTCAAAGTATAGAATTATAAAATATTGAAATCAGTACTTACTTGAATTTCAGCATATTTTCTCTTTAAAGATGCATTTCCGTCCATAACGAAGAAAAATATGTAATATTAAAATTGCTATAAGATTTAAAGAAAAGTTTAAACAATTATTTTTAAAAAAATTTACATTCAACAAAGTATGGTGAAATAAGCCCTGAGCACCAGAATGTGAATAAGAGTGAATTACGAATATACGACTGAAAATAAAGACTTCGCTCTGCATACCGTTGCCGAATTCAAAAAGTAAAACTCAAACAACCAAACATTAAACATTCACATGCAAACTATTTGAGGAGAACTGAATTCAATACTCATACGTCAATAACATCAAGACCTAACTTGTCAGAGCTCAATATAATCGCTTAGTGCTACAGTTGTGACGTCATACATTAATTGTGGAGCCGTTGCCACAGTGGAATAGAAATATTTAAGTTTTTTCCCATTATCATTAAATACTAAGATACTGGTTAACGCGCCAGACAAACTTGTATCCTGCGGAAGTATTTTGCCTTGAAGGTCGTGGGTTCGAATCCCGTTCGAAATAAATATGTTTTTATAACTATAAAATTTTAATAATTTTACTATTTTCAATTATATAATTAGTTATTATTTTAGATACTAGATGGAGCCACGAAGAAGGAATGAATGTGTTTGGAAACCGAAACCCAAACTGCTCCGCCTGCTTATTTTGTAAACAGATTGAGTGTTGCCATCTTTTAATAACAAATCTAAATTAATGAGTGTTTCCATCGATAAGAAATAGTTAAATCGAAACTAAAATAAGAAATTCAAGCGGGCAGAAGTGAGTGATATGCTACTTTTTTTAAACCGAAACTAAATCTGGTGTTCCCACCGGAAGTTAGAAATTTTGGAAAATGAAATCTAAACTAAATCAGGAGCTGAACAACTCGACTCAGCAGCAGGAGTAAAACAACTCAACTCCGCAATGACGTCACTGCGGAGCTGACTCCGCTGGTCCAGAACTCTCATTTTTTATCTGCTCACCTTGTAGTTGGCAAGTAAGAATAACTACACCTAAACTGTCGTTTTTAAAAGAGTTAATGGCTGAAATTTTGCCACTCGTTAAAAAATTATAAGCTCATAAGCCTTTATAATTTTCAAAACATTCATTAGCATAAAAACACTTCTTTATAACCAAATCGATCTTCAAAAGGCCATTCGGCCATGTTGTTCAGCTTGAACAAATTGTCCCCTAAAATTTCATCTAATGGATATCCTCCCAAATGGTTAGTAGTAGAGTATCTTCCCAAATGGTTAACTTTTCTTCATATCGCTTCTTAGAAATCTTATCAAGTTGTTTGTAATTAGCTCCGAACATCGATAACAAAAAAATTCTTATGTTTCTTTTTTATCAAAANACCAAGTTCATGGTGCGGTATAGCCATTTCTGGCTCTTGCGCCAAAAACACTAAATAACTAACTAACTTTTTTATCAAAATTAAGCATATTATGAAATTAATAAGCACTGGAAGAACTTTGCATTTGTACTTCACATACTAGGTTAGGAATTATAAGGCTAATAGCAAGAAAAAAATAAAAATATTCTTTCTTAAATTTTTGTTACTATTTTGAGATTATTGATGATATTTCTTGAAAAATTCAAACATTTTTTTTCCTTTAAAAAATTTAACTAAACAGTAGGGATAGCACTATTTTAGAATATGTTCTATCCTTTATGTTACCTCTTGTAAAAATAGAATTTGTTGATCATAAAAAAATAATTTATTATTAAGAATTACTTAATAACGTTAATTACTTAATAAGAGAATGCAAGAACCGTCCTACCCTCAGTTGGGCATTCCGAAAGTTGACTCGCTTTCACGACAGTCCTCCCGAGAGGACCACTGTCCGACCACCAGCACATGCGCCCGACCGACCAAACAGATTGGCTAGGCCACACCCGTAGCATTTATTAAAATCCAAAACATTACAAAGTTACAATAGATGGCAACAGTAATACAGTAGATAAAGACATGTTAGTTGCTTCGAGAGACCCGTCTTATAGTGCAAAAGCCGACGGGACCCCCCTTTTAGTAAGCTAGGCTGTTTCGTTCATCAAAAGTTTCATTAAAACAGCATTTTTGTTTGTGTTGACATTAAGAGCTCTATGTTGCCCCTAGAATGCCCAAATCTCCATTAATAGAAAAGTTGGTAAAATACATTGTAAAAACATAGCGTTGCAAAACTATCAGTCCCTAAACACAATTGTAGATAAACAAACTGACATCATAACAAAATTGGCTTGGGCCATCAATGTTAAAAAGATATTGATTAAAATAGAATATATACAAAAGCTAAATGCAAGAACAATATATTAACACAATATCAAAATAAATATGAAGAAATGATTTAAAGTAAAAGAAAAGGCGAGTTATGAAATGCAAAGTTAAGCCACCAGGTAAAAAATTTGAGTAAAATAGACAAATTGATAAAACTCAGACGAACATAGTTGAGGGTCGGAGTTAAAACCAAGTAAAGTGTATAAAAGCAAAATTTGTAAAGTTAACCAAAACATTGAGCAAAATGTTGACAAGTAGTGAGAGACAGGTGATGGTGTGCTATTAAGTCTTCCAATGTGCGTTATATAATCTCACTTATTATTAGTTTTTGCTGATTTGTTTTGCACCATGACTCCATGGTTCCTCTTCTATTGAAATGTTTTCCACGGAGTGTTGAGAACTCGCATTCTGTGATTAAATGTGTTATTGTTTGGTGTCTGCCGCAGTATTTACAATTTGCGATTTTGCTCAACACAAAACACTCCGTGGCCAGTGTAAAATTGTTTTAGATAAAAGTTGCTAGGGAGATGCTTATCGTTAATTTTAGGATAAAAAATATATGTCTGTCTCCCCTTTGATGAATTATTTCACCTGTCTTGCCAGAGGGCTTTGCTGATCTGCCTCAGTCGATGATTGATCTGGGGTCTTGTGAGTGGGCAATGAATATCCTCGTTACCCAATACCTCCGAGTCCACTTTAATCCAGTTATATCTATAATTTTTATTTTGTGCCATCTTTTTCATACTTTCAATGAGAGGATCTTTTGGAGTTGAATTTTCGAGGGATTGCAACGAGGACTTTGAATCTGAGAAAATAGTAATGTCGTAAGATTTTTATCCAATGCCCAAGTGGTGGCTAGTTTTAATGCGGTTAATTCAGCTGGGTAAACTCTAGCCTCTTTATTTAGTCTGGCCTTATTTTTAGGTCTATAAATAGGAATGATGCCAGCTAAGACTTGTAGTGCCTCCGTACTGGTAGTTGAATAACTCTTCGTAATGTTTAAGTGGACGGTGGACTTAATAACTTTTTTTTTTATTTTCTGTAAATCAGCTATGAAATTTTGTTAAAACATTAGGGTTCTAACCTTATTAACAGTAAATTAAAAAGAAACTGAAAAAAATTCAAATAAAATTCATTTTTTAAAATTTTTTCGAAAAAATTAAAAAAATTTCAAAATGTTCCTTGCGGGACAATTTACAATATATTTTGATAGTTTTAGCAAAAAAATTTTGTATGCTAAATCAGAATGTTTTGTAAGGATTATTTTTTAAATCTAAAAATAATTTAATTTAAAAAAAAAAGTTTTTATCAATTATTTTCAAATTTTTTGTAAATTTTGGGATTTTTTTAGCAACGATGAAAATTTTATTGACTTAAAATTAAAATAAAACTTAAAAAATCCTCTAATATGCTTATTATAGTTTTCAAAATATATTAAATTTTGGAGGGCTTCGCTAAAAAATTACCCCTCAAGGAACATTTTTAAGCTAGAAAAATGTACAAATTTAGCAAATTGAGAAAAATGCGTTCAAAGTAAATTTATTGCTTACATCACATATTTGTTCAAATAAAGTTAGTAAATATTTTTTTTAATGGTATACAATATAAATTAGAAAATTTATTAATGCACAGTATAAACAAAATTAAGTTTAAATTGAACAGAAATAAAAATTGCTATAATAATTGATTGCGTTATAAAAACAAAATTTAGAAGCATTTCACCTTAAAATTTTCCAGGTGCATATGTACTGCCTTCTTTTTTAACATTTTTTCTTCTTCATTCGCAGTGCCATATTTTTTAGTTAATCTGTGTCTTTTATACAATTTAGTGTTCCTTTGAGCACTTTGTGATAAACGACGCTTGTCTCGTTTTCGGCAATGTTCAAAGAAAAGTAGTCTTTTTCAAGGTACAATGTATTTACACAGCCAAAGTTAAATTCAGATACACTTGAAATCACTGCCAACTCCAAGCGTTCTTTAGAGACAAATGTTTCTTTTGAACACTTATTCCAAATGAGGCTATAAATGCTCTCATTGGCATTTTGTGTTCCACCTGACGTACATCTCTTCAACAGTTTATCACTCGCTAGCCTCTGATATATTGGCAAAATTTTGGAGAGCACATCTTCTGAGATGTACGTTTTCATAGCTTCATGAGAAGGTGGAATTTCTGAGGAAGCAAGTGCCCTTTGAAAAAAGCACCAAGATTGTACACCGGTTGGTTTATGGCAGCAACACTGGAACCTGCAAGGCGAAAACAAATTACATTCTGTTAAGCCTACTTTGGAGCCTTGGCCTGCACTGCACATGCGCAGGGCAGATGTCAAACTCACCCGCTTGCGAGTAGGACTTACTCACCTTCATTTGCTATTTGGAGAACCTCCTCCCAAATGCAACGATTGCAACGTTTTACTCACGATTCATCACATTTTAATGCTTTGTCCATGTTTTAACCAGCTTCGCCTAAACTTTTTTGGTAGCTCCATTTTATGCATAAAAGACTTGTTAGATGAAAACCATCATCCTAACATCTTTGCTTTTCTTCGCACTATTGGTATTTTAAACAGTATATAAGAGATTTATCATGCTAACCATTTTTATCAAGTTTTATCCACATATAAAAATACTTGCATCTGCACTGTTTTCGAATTCTCATCATTTTTACTATACTTATTGATTGTGTAATTGTACTCTATTCTACCTTTTAATATGTTTTTAAAACCGTGTGTCTGGCGCAGCATGTCCTCTCTGGACCTTGTGCCATTAAATCTTACATTCAATTCAATGTACACCTGTTGGACATTTACTGTGTTTCGGTGCTTTGTCGGACGATAAACAATGCAGTAAAGAAGCGTATATAGCTGATTGCTTTTTTGTTATGTCTGGACAATTGTCTTTGATTGCCTTCCTATAAAAATTTGTCAACTTTATTATGGTACTTTCTTTGAGGCTGCCTTTTTTGCGCCCTCCGATTGTTACTCCTTTACTTCTCAGCTCTTTTACTTTATTGTGCAACCCTGTGCCCAGTCTTTTGGACACATGGTTGAGGCATTCCTCTTTTACGATTTGCACATCCTCGCCGTAAGGTTTTAATTCAACTAGATGTTGATAAGTTCTCGAATCTCCATCTGATAGCTTAGGTAGCGGAAACCACAATTTTTTACAGATCTGCTCCATAATATGCCTGCAAGAACCATCTCCATGGAGCCTGAGGACCCGCTGAAATTTTTTGAACTCAGATTTGTGCCCATTATACCAAATGGAGAATTCAGCACAATCATTTCCCAAGTCTCTTTTTGCCGCAGTGCATTGCGAGCAATATTTTGATGAGATTTTAAAGTCTACGGCTAATCCCGTCAACACATCGATTTCGACCCCAAGTCCATGTAGCGAGGTAGGGCCTCGCTTGTGCCACGAACCATCGAACGAGACTGTGATGTCAAGAAGTTTTTCATCATCAGATAAACAATTTATTTCTAAATGTGTCTTTCGAACAATTTGGCGGGCAACACACAACATATCCTCTCTAAATGTTTTCTTTTCTTCACATAAACTTTGCAAACATTTTGAGAAAGTTTTTTTGTCCATTGTTTGAATTCCTAAGGCAATAGAAAATTGTTCCAACGACGCGTGTCCTTTACCAATTTTCAGAAATGCTTCGACAACTTCTGTGTTGGCGAGAAAAGATTTTGAATCTTCACAACGAGGAATTCTTTTAAAAACTTTTAGTTTTCATTTGTAGTAAAAAATTCGTTCGCTCCCCCTCCACAGAAATATCTTTTGCAAATCTATCGCCGTTTGTCTATCGCATATTCATTAATAAAATAAAATGTTTCAAAGTTCGTGTTTCAGCAAGTCTTTGTTCTGACTTGATTTTTTAACGCAGAGCATCATTGGCAGGCAGGCATGGAAGTATTTTCCTCGAAACTCCTGCTTTTGCAATTTGTGTCAATTCTGCTGGTGTGTCATTTGTAATACAGTAGAAGTCCATCAGTCCGGAATGCCCGATAGTCCGGCATCGCTCCGGAAAATTATAAAAATTTTGATTTTCTCTAAAAGTGTGTCTTTAAAGCAAATAAAAACGCTCGAGAACTATTCGGAAGTTTTCGGGGTAGTTCGGGATCATCCGGAAGCGCTCGGTATTGTTCGGAAACAACAGGTGCAGTGCAGCTCCGTTAATCAGTCACGAAGCGTCTTCGCCATTTTTTGTGCGTTGTTTTTTTTGGGTCCTTTCACATCGCAGTAAACGTAACTTTTGAAACTGTTTATAAAAAAAGGGATTTTCGTTCTAACTGTACAGTGACCATGTTTTCAAAACCTAAGCCTTCGAGTTTAAAAAGAGAGAAACGAAATCACGTAACACTGACTCTCAATCAGAAACTAGAAATCATCAAACGGCTAGAAAAAGGCGAGAATACAAATGTTTTAATGAATGAGTTTAATATTGGCTCATCAACTTGACAAACATTAAAAAAACCAAAACTGGAACAGCTAGATAGTGTATTGTTCCAATGGTTTAGTGTAGTACGTTCTGAAGGAAAGCCGGTAACAGGGCCAATGATTGTTGAAAAGGCAAGGAAATTCGGCCAAGATTTAGGAGTTGCTGAAAGTGAATGTAATTATTCTGATGGTTGGCTCAGAAACTTTAAGTTTCGGCATGGAATTCGAAAACTTGGAGTAACTGGAGAAACACTTTCAGCAAACCAAAACTCTGCAGAAAAATACAAAGACAAGTTTGAGAAAATCGTGGCTGATAATGATTTAACACCTGAACAGATTTACAATGCTGATGAAACAGGGCTATTATGGCGATGTTTACCAACATCTACACTAGCTGGGGGAGGAGAGAAAGCAGCCAAGGGTTTAAAAAAAAACAAAGACAGATTAACCGTTTTGCTATGTGCTAATGCGTCTGGAAACCACCGAGTGACCCCTTTTGTAATAGGTAAATCGGCAAAACCCAGGACTTTTAAGAATGTTACACACTCGCCTGTCCAATACGATGCTCAATCAAATGCGTGGATGACTGCCGCCCTCTTTAAAGACTGGTTTTTTCACCACTTTGTGCCTGAGGTCAAGGAATCCTTCAAAAGCCTTGGTCTACCAGATGGTACTAAAGCCATCCTTCTTTTGGACAATTGCAAAGCCCACCCGCCAGTAGATGAGTTAGTTTCTGGAAATATTGTTGCTACTCTGCTCCCACCTAACATAACATCTTTGATTCAACCCATGGACCAAGGGGTTATTCAAAATTTTAAATGCTTTTATGGAAGGTCTTTTATTCAAGGCCTGTTAAATGCCGACTGTAACGTGACTGATTTTCAAAAAAAGTTTACAGTAAGAGATGCCGTCCATGCTATTGCACTGTCTTGGAACCAGGTAAAAAATACAACACTCCAAAAATGGTGGAGAAAACTTTGGCCAGCTGCAAACCCTGCATCTGACCTAACTCTACAGACTGATGAGGAAGAAAACCATCAAGACGCTCTGACCTAAGTTTTGGATGTCGTTAGAAGTGCCGACAATCCCTTGAAAAACATGCCTGAAGATGAGGTACAGGAGTGACTACTAATCGACGAGAATGAGCCTGTTGAACAAGAACTAACCGATGAGGACATTATCAACATTGTAGTAAAAAACCCTCGGCCTACTCAAAATCTTGAAGAAAGTGACTCAGATGCCGAAACGGAAGAAAAGGAAAAAATCAGCTGGGCAGAAGCTGCAGAATCACTAAATAAGTTTATCTCTTTTGCTGAGGCTAGTACTAGCTACAGTACTTTAGAAATTATTGATTTCCATATCATTAGAAATAAATTTTATACTAAACGCCAAAAGTCAAGAAAGCAAAAAGACATTCGTGACTTTTTTAAATCTAAGTGAAATATGTTTTACAGTACGTGTACATACATTATATGAAACATTATATATTTGTTGTATGTATTTGCATACTGTATTTGTAGTTTAATTATTAACCTAATTGTTCTTATAATTACCGCCCGATAAACCGGAATTTTAGGTAGTCCGGCACCGAGCCGGTCTCGAACGTGCCGGATTATCGGACTTCTACTGTATTGGCTAAATCTTTTATTTCCACACATACTTTCATTACTTGATTATGTTACTGAATGATTATGTTTCAAAATATCGTGCTGGCTCAAAATATGTTGACCGAAACAACAACGAAAAAACGTATGTTGATACGTAACGTTGTTACTGCTCTCCCATGACGAAGACAATCATCACGTTTTCAGTAATATTTATCGTCACGATTTCCATCTTAATTGTCGATAAATCCATCATTTAACTAAAGAGTCTTTAATTTTTGTAGTTTTAAGATCTTGCTAATAAATCTCGCAATGCTTCAGGTGGCGCTGTACTGAATAAAATAAAAGAGTACACGAAAGGAAATCATCTTAAAATCAGCTTAGGCGCCAAAAAATTCTCGAAATCCGTCGATAATAATGATATTATACTACGATATATTATGTTCCGCCAAAATATATATATATGTATGTATATTTTTTTATCAAATATAGCATAAATGTATCCATTAAGTATCAATACGAATGTTTTGTGATATGTTATATATATTGTGATTTAATAATATATGCATTCTATGATGTATATTATTATGTTTGAAATTACTATCTACAAAGCATAAGTTTTAAGATGAGATGCGTTTTCTATGAAATTTTGATTTATAGCATAGCATTTAAATTAATACATATTATCTTTTAGGAAAATGCTTTCAGGATATTCACCTTTAGCTCCTCTTCTATTTGGTTAGCAAAAGCAATTACAAACACGTAAATTCAGTGAATAAAATGAAGTATGCACTTTCACAACTAAAAAATTCTTTTCAATGTTAATTGTAATAGTCAAACATCATTTTATAACAATATTTAGTCTTTTTCGAGATTCGTAACTTCTTTTTCTAATTTCTAAATCATCTGCAAAAAAAGAAGAAAAATATTAAAAATGCGTATAATTAATCATAAAAAAATATTTGTATTTAGTAAGAAATTTTTTTAAAAAAATCTTACATAATCCTCTGAACTTCTGAGCAGAACAGCCTTTATACAACTTACTTCCTTTAAAAAAAATGAGAAAAAAAAATTAAGCGAATTTTTCAATTTAAGCAGAAAATATAAATACATTTTATAAGACGTGATCCAATTCGTAAGGAAATAACTCTTTTCGTGAAAAAAATATGCAGTTGACGAACAATTTTTTGTACATAAAATACATATATAAAATAAAAAAAGAGGAGAGCAACGTTTGCAACCAAGTAAAAATTAAAAGTGTATATTTTTTAAAAATTTTCCAGATCTTTATATATATATATATATATATACTCATTTTAGCTTACATGTTTGATGAGGGCTGACATCTAGTTTAAAATAAACTTTCTCTGAACACATGACAAATAGTTTGGCTCCGTCATTTGTTGTATAGATTGAGAAATGAACATGATTATGGACGTAAGAAATAGATTGCCCTAATCTTTTAGGTGCGTTACTCTTGAACACACTAGCCCGGAAATATCACGGGCACGAGAAATAGAGAGTGAAGCTNCTTTAAAATTTGCCTGTAACATATATAAATGTACTCTATGGACCAAAGTAGGTTGCAATAAATGCTGAAATAAACTTTGAGGTACAATGTCCTTATCGTCGTTATCATCGAAAAAGTCCTCCCTTTCATTTAGCTCTAGACTCCAATTTAAAAGTATAGATGCAGCAATGATTGCATTTAAAGAGTTCGTCAGAAGCAATAGCAACTCATAATGTAGGGCTGGAAATCTTTTCTTTAGGGTTCCAAACAATCTCTCGACTTTAAGCCTTACCTGGCAGTGTGCAGAGTTAAATATCCTTTAGTCAGAGGATGCCTGGATGGGTCGTGGTACGGCCTTGGCTACAAACGCCTGCAGAGGGTTCGGCACCGCCGTCTTAGGCCTCTTAGCGATTTGGATGTATCGTGAGTGGCTCGGAGTCATGAACCTTGTGTCCATGCACCAGGGGTGGGTCAGATTAAGCCATAACTTAAATATCCTTTCAGGTGCTGTGGTGGGGTTTGCAAGAGGTGTTAGTAAATAGTTAGAGCAGGGGTAACCAGCATCTCTAATAATGAAACCATTTATATCCCCCTGCTCCGACTTTGCTTTTGCATTGCTACTTCTAAAAGTACTGGAGTCATCGGTTGAAACTGTCCTTAACTTAAAATCACAGCATCGACGAATAAATTGAAACGCAACATCGCAGCTGGGTTTCACCACCCTCCATTGTGTCTGAGCTAGGCATTTGAGAGCAATTAAATATCATTTAAAAATTTCAACAGTTCACATAACAAAACCAAAAAAAATCGAAACCTGAAACTTCACAGCTGCTTTAGAAATGCTTTCAAATTCCTTCCTGAAATGAAATTGATTTTGGCATTTTTTATCTCTCCCTTTTCAATAGTAATCTATCAGATTCCGATATTTTATTAATTACATTTAAAACTTTTTCTGAAGTTTTAGAAAAATGATATGCGATTAAAACCTATAAGAGTCGTGTCTTTTTTTTGCATTTTATCATTTACTGCATGGAACCTCGAAGCATTCAAAAGAAAGCAATAAAAATAACATTCCAATTCTTTCAACTTCAAAATATCAGCTACTTTTAATGTCGAATTTAAATATTACAAAGCAACATAAATTCTAAAAATGGTAAATGTATGAATAAATCCTTGATAGTTTTGAAGTATGTAAGGAAACTGATCAGTCGATAAACAATAACTTTAACAGTGTTTCTTTTAAATCATTAAACATAAAAAATTCAAAACAAGAATTTAAATTTGTTTTTTAAATCATATAAAAGGATAAAAAAAATCTATATTAACCCATTAACGCCCAAACTATTTCTACTTAATATATTTCAATGAATCTTTCAAATCTAATTTATTATGATCTAATAAGAGTTTAAAACTTAAGCATATTTTGTATTAACTTTAAAATTGCAGCCCGTCTTCATTTGAGGACACTGGGCATTCCAGTGAGAAAATAATGTCTCTTGGATAAGCATGCAAATATTATAGTTAGTACTTATTTTAAATGTCTATTTAATTTTTTGGTATAGGATAGGTATAAATTGTATCACTCCTTAAAACTAAATATAATTTTACACTTTGATGATGTTTGCAAACATCATTATTAGTATTATTTTTCTTAATTCTTGAATTACGAAAAAGGATCAATATGAAGATAACTGATGGAAGTAAATGAATAATGCCATGTAATTTCATTATATTGTAATACATAAATATAGATAGATATTTAGTATATTTATTAAAACGTATATAAATACTTAAGTACATAAAATAATTAAAAATACATAAAATATTTAGTATATAAAAGCATTTAATATGCACAGAAGTTATATAATAAATAATTGCTCAATTTACTTTGAAACTTTGGAAAACAAAGTATGCATAAAGTTACGTTGCATTTCTTATTCGTAGTTTTGAAGTACAATTTTCCATCTGACAACATCTTTGCCTCTCCCTTTTGTATGTCCGATAGGATCGTACTTCACTGCAGCAGTAGAGGTTGATTTTATCATTTGCCGTCTACTCGATCTAACTGGCCTTTTTTCAAATATGCTGCGACAATCTCACCCCGAACATACTTTATTGAAATCTGCTTCTTACTCTCTTTTTTATTAAGAGTTTTATACAAAATGTAAGCATTCACAACCTACATGTCTATCACTCTTGTAAATAAACACCAATTCCATTTTTGCCCCTTATTGATTTTGTGTGTACCCACCCCGAACGAAAGTGTTGTACTCACGTATGATTGCTTCACGGGTGCTCTTTCCAACCACATTGTTTGCCCCCTACAGAATTTATTTATTCGAAATTCGTTGCAATTGTAATTGATTTCTTGACATTCCATTTGAATCCTGCTAATCAAACCTAGGAAGAATTGAAATGATAACTGCCTAAATTTGTCTGAGAACAAATAATCCTGAGCTATTGTAAGAAATTTACGGGATATAGTATTGCATTGAATTTTTTGAAGAGAAATTTGAAGGTGAAACAATTGCCTAAAATAAAGGAAATAATATTTAAAAAAATGTCTGCTAACTCTATAATTGACTTATTCTATCAAAATACAAACACGTATGCATAATTAAATGAATGAAAACAAATTCTGGAAAATTCTTTAAAATTTGCTTGTAACGCCCAGTGTCCTCGATTGAGGACAGTAAAATATAATGTTATATAAAAAGAAAAGAAATTGTCAAAAACAAATTTATTTAGCTTNTATAGTATAAGATAACTGCATAAAAAGAAGAGGTTTGTGTGAGGCTCGCAAAATGTCGACCCAAATAACAAACCAAATATAGCAGCATATTTATTAAAAATATTGCTGATGCGTTAATAGTTCTGCCAACTATCTTCTCAGAAAAGAAAAAAAAAATTTAAAATAAAAATATTAATTTTACACAATGTTT